AGCAGCAGCGGGAGGCTTGCGGGGTAAAGCGTGCTCCTGCCTGAGGAGATTCACCCAGTGCCGCTTTCACGGGAGGTCTCCGGTTCGGAGGCCGCCTTCCTCGGGGGGAGGGGGCGGTGGACCGAAACGACCGACCCGCCGAGATAGAACGAAGGAAGTGGCAAGAAAAAGGTCCCTCGAACAGTAAAAACGCTACATTTCCCTCCCTTTGCTCCCAGCGAGCTTCAGGCCAGTGTTGCTAAGTTGTGCTTTTAAATAAACTTCAATATAAAACGGATAGCTGTAGCGGTTTTGTGAACAAACTGAATCCTCAAAGGAGGAATGACTGCATGATACTATTTTTACTTTATTATTATAACGGTGCTGTAAATTGGGCTAGAAAAAAAGATTTAAATCAAGCATCTGCTTTACTCATCGGTGCAGCCTTCTCCTGCATCAGCTCTGGTCTCTGCAGATCCATCTGCGATCGCTGGTCAGTCTCTGTGGACCCCAGAGACTGAGGTGCCAGTTTAATCATTAGCCCAAGGTTGGTCTGTACGTTCCACGTTGGGTTTTGCTTACTTACTCCTTACCTGTTGTCATACAACGTGCTCCAGCAGTGCCACTTGGGGTTTTGCGCTAGGTTTTGTGCTATGAAGAACTGTTTGTTTGTTTGTTTGTTTTAAGTTTCTGTTCCAAGGGTAACTCTTTAAAATGTCCCAGTGGTAGAAAAGCCACTCCTTTAAACTGTACGTTATTTCAAATGAAATGTCATATCAAATGCAAAATACTTCGTTTTACTTTGAACTGGGCTGAGTAAAGGCTAGACAACTAAATAAACCATAAGATACAATTATATAACATAAATTAGTTCGTCTTTGCAACAGTTACAACAGTAAGTATTACAGTAAGACATATATGACTGTATAAAAAATGAATATTCCTCAAGGTTCCAGTGGTAGAAGAAGTCTTAAGGGCATAAAAGGGAATACCTATAATTTAGCTTAAGCAATCACTGTCCAATTTAATTTTCTGTAGTAAGGACGAGTTACACAAGAGGGAGCTATGATCTGGTATTTTAAGTCCCTTTCCCTGCCCTCTGTTCCATCCAAAATTTACGTAAGAAAAATGTAATCATAGCATGTGCTGTAATTAGATAACTTTGTTTAAAAAAAGTGAAGGTCTTGAGCCTTTTTAATGTTTTGCAGAAGATATTTAATATTTATGTAGTTATTTTGTCAAAAACATTTATCAAATATTTTAGTATTCTTTAGGTGACTATTTTAACACCTCTGCTTCATTTGCAGATAGAAAGACTGAGGCAGAAAAATTACTTTGTGAATAAGGGCTAGCCATCTAATTTAGGAACGAGTTCTAGCATCTCCAACTCAATTCAGTTACACTCATTCAAAATGGATTTAAAAAATGAAGGTATACAGCTCTTTGGCCACATTTTCTCCAATAGAATTGTCTAAGAATTGATGGTTCTGGCATTAGAAATAATCCTAATTTTCAAAGGTGAAATCCTATCTTGAATTAAGTAAACAGCAAAAACTCTCTTTTATCAGAAGGAGAGCCAGATTTACACTGCATTTTTCATCCTGCAGGTAATATACACATGTAGTTGTACACACACAGACATACACATGTTCTTTCTCGCTACACATACATATGTTTATATGTACATTTTTGGGGGAAAGGTAGAGCCCCTAAATTTAGCAAGGGGTTTTGTGAATTTTGGAAGCTCCTGCAGGAATTAGAGCTTTAAAAAAAGACTTTAAAAAGTCAGACTTTTACCAGCATTCTCATTTCAGTAACCACTCAAAACAGTTGTGGTTGAACCAACCAGAAACTCAGCCAAAGGAAGCAGAAACAAGCTACTTCAACAAGCACACCCCAATCATGAGGAGCAGGGAAAAAAAGAACTTACTCTTAAGTACCCCGCCCTGAACGAACTCCGAACTTGGTGGGAAAGCGTGTAAGTATTTCTCATTCTGGTAATACAAGGGCTGATATTGCCTTTCTCCCTCCTCAACCAAACAAGCTCAGGTAAGACAGATAAGCTATGCTATACCATCCAGAAGAAGCTGTGAAAAGTACCTGCATGACAGACGTAGATGTCCTCAGTATCTGACTTTCAATACAGTTTATTTGAACATCCTTCCTCATTCTTGCTTCTTCCCTGCTTATCCCTCAATCAGGAAGTTGTTTAATCCAACCCCATTTGACCTCTTTCCATGCTGTTCCACATGCATC